TTTGGCCACACTGGGAAGCCCCAGATTCAGAAGCTGGAGTCATTCCACACCCCCTTTCACCCCATCAAATCTATATTCTGTGCTCTGGCAGCTGCTTTTGCCATTTACATTAAAAGCAGATGGGGAAATTGCAAAGAACTGTCAGTTTTATTGCCATGCATAATCGGCATCTGGGCTGTGTATGTTACAGATACCATCAATCCAATCTCATACTTTCCTGGTGCTGTAAAAACTTTTTGAGGTTTTTTAAAATATGTTTTTCTTTATTTCAGAGAGAGGAAAGGAGAGGGAGAGATAGAATCATCAATGATGAGAGAGAATCATTGATCGGCTGCCTCCTGCACACCCCCTTCTGGGGATTGAGCCAGCAACTCAGGCATGTGCCTTGACTGGGAATCGAACTTTGAGCCACATTGGCGAGTCAAAACTATTTTAGTTTCTAAACCACATGTTAAACATGTTTATCATGGAAATTGCAACTATATATACATACATATGTGTGTGTATATATATATATATATACACACACGCACACACACACACTGAGTTATATATATATGCATATATATATATTTCTATGTATACATAAATGAATGATATATGTGTTTAATAGTTACTGAGTTATCTGCAAATCTGTACTGCTTATTTGTTTAAAAACATGTTTTAGAACCATATGTATTTATTTTATATTAGAGATCAAATCATGTGCCAGATTTATTCAATTATATAATCTATGTGTATGTGTATATGTGTGTGACTAAAATGTATTGTAGGCATTATGTAATGCTAAGTGTCATATGTGTGGTTACATATCTACACATGTATATTCTCATATTTTTTTTTCTTTTCCCATTTTTTGTGCAAGAAGAAAAAAAAATACCATATATTTTCTTCTACATCTCATTATTTACCAAAAACACTAGGGTAGGTTTTACTTTCCTCATTTTTCAGGAGGAACTAAGACACAAAGAAGCAAAGTAACTTTGCAAGGTCCAAAAAGCCAATGAGTGACGTAAATATAATGTAATCCCAATCTCTGTAAGCTTCTAACCACTGAGCTACACATGGCCATCTTTGTGTATAGACAGATACAAAGCATTCATGTCTCTTGGAGAGAGAGCTACTTATGTGTTGGCATGTAAATGTTATTTTGTATGGTTTGTCAAAATAATCTAGTTTGAAGATATTGAGACTAATGCCTGGGAATTGAACCATGAGCTAAAGTGTCTTCACATCACTTAATATCTTCTCTGTGGCTTCAGAACTAGTTGGAGCTTTTTAACTGCCCAGCGACACTGCGCTGAATACTCTACTGATGTAAGATTTGATAGTTTTTTCATTTTCTATAATCTGAATTAGGCACTAGAAGGTGACATACATTGGTTGCAGTCCATTCTTTAGGAACTCTAAAAGTGTCAAGACATGTTTTATTCATATAAAAATCAGTAATTAATGAATAAGAGAAAAATGTATGTGAGTGGAGAGGAAAGGTCTTTATTGGTTAAATTATTTTAAATTGTTGGATTGGAGCAGTTAGAAAACTGTCTCCATTTTTTTTTTTATCTCATTGAGCTTCTAACTAAAGCTTCCTTATGGTTTTGATGAAGTGGTAGCAGCAAATTGCTTTACATAAAACAGATAGATGATAGATAGATAGATAGATAGATAGATAGATAGAGAGGGAGGGAGAGAGAGAGAGAGCAAGATGGATACACACACATACACAGTGATTAAATGTTTTAGAATTGTTCACATACATTCTGTGGAGAAAAAGGAAAATGGTAAGGTCCTGTCTACTTTTATACATTAAAGAAAGGTTTTCTTACACTATGTGATTTATAGAATTTTCTCCCTCCCTTATTTAGTTTTCTAAATATATTTTTACTTTGAAATTCCAAATAATGAATTTTCTTTCTATGAAGGACTAGCATTTGGAAGGCTCTTAATTATGGTGGATTTTAGCCATTACACTATCTGTTTTTATAACCCTAAATGTTTTTAATTTGATGCTTCATGGAACAATGGATTCATATTTGCATCTTATAAATTCAGCAGATTCTATGCTATTAAAATAGAAGATCAGAAGACAGCAGAGATAGAAAATGTACATTTCATTTGCTTTTTGAAACCTTCACCTGAAAAGTCTTAATATTTTTCTTATTGATTTTTTAAATAATTTGGTTTAAATATTTCCCCCTCTATTTTGTAGGAGTAAGGATACCATTTGGGATACGTGTGGTTTATAGTTTATAAAATATATCCTGGTTTTCTTATTTTCAAGAACCTGAAATTTATGAAAGGTAGTTATATGAACTTGTTTTACATGTCTGTTAAGTGAAATCTGCTAGTCACTAAGACTTTTTAATTTGTTCTCATCATAGCATTATATTCTTCTGAGCAAATCTTTAACAAAATGAAATGTTTCATTGGCCTGGATTTGAAGAAAGTTCTAATATCAGTAATATGCCAACTATGGCTTTTTTTAACTTTATTTTTATTGATTACATTTTAAACTTCTTAAAATTTAACTATAAGAATGGATTACAGCAAAAAAAAAGTGTCTCTAAACCATCAATTTGTAATGTTCTAGTCTATACTGTATTAGGGAAATTATTTAAATGCCCTGTGTTATATTTAGAACTTTTGAGAAAAATATGCCTTGTTAGAACCTACATAAGTAATTGAGGTGCCAAATCCACATTTTCTTCATGAAGTTTTTTCTTGTCTTCTGGGGTAAATCTGCCACGTAAGAGCCAACAACTTGGTGGAGGAGAAATTTGTAAAAAATGGAATACAGAGAGATAAAAGCCCTTGGGAAGAGAATGCCCTCGGGTATATAGAGAAAGGTACCGCTAACCATACCTGAGGAAATCAAGTAAGGCTTCCAAAGGCGGCCGTGTTTCAGTCACCTTCAAATGACTGAACAGTATTATGAATAAAGATGTAAAAGTATTATCTAAATGGCTAATAATTGGAAATGATTTGGGAAAACATTTTGATAATTGGATATTAAAAGACATTATAATAATGTCTTCCAAAAATTTTAATGATATAAGAAAACATGTCTGATATGATATTTGTTATAAAGGATGCAACTCCAATTCTTTGTATGCTAATACTTCAATTATAGAAAATAGTAAGTATGCATGCATAAGAAATAAACTCACCAATTTTAGTTGTGCATTATGGGCAATTAAATTTTATTCCTTACATATTTTATAAATAAACTTGAATTTATCTTGAATGTAAACAGAATTACTTCTGTTTTTTAGAAGGAGAATTATGACTAATGGTGCAGGTGATAGAGACAGGATTTTACCTTTTGTGTAAGAGAGGAAGGGACAGAAACTCGAGGAATAGCTCAATGTGTAGGGGGTTAGAAAGCAAAGCGATAAGGTGAGGAAAAGAAAAGTAGAGTGAGAACCAGGGGAATGTAGTGTCACATGCAAGGAAAGAAGGATTGTTACCGATATCAAATGCCACATTGAGTTCAAGAGCAGTGAGGATTGAGATACCTTGAAAGGGCTATGAAACCGGAAAAGACCAATACCTAATCAATGTTACTAAATCTCCTAGGGATCTTTTATTTGTTTTGAATTGATGTTCATTAATCAATAATGTATATATTAAAGTATTACCAGCATTCAATAAAAATGAACCAATGTATATGACACATTTAATCATTATATATACTCTCATTTATAAATATATAAGTAGATATAACATCTATTGATATATACATATACATATATATACTTAATCCAGGCATGAACGTGGAGCTCATGCCGGGTATTTCAGTAGAGGGATTTAATATGAGGAATGAATTTAACAGTCCTAGAAGATGACACCGAAATTAGAAGGCTCTTCACCCCCAGGACTACAATGACCTAAGAATAAAGTGAAGTTATGCTAAGTCAGGAGGTGGCCCCAGCCAGAGATGAAATTAGGAAGAGAGGAGAGGACTGCTGAGAACTTTCCCTGAGGGGACAATATCCTGGCTTTTCCCCTCTTCCTACCTCAGTCTCCAACCTGTGCCGCTCATTGGCCAAGTCACACAAAAGCCAGTAGGCAAAAAGCCTAGTTCCCAGAAGCCAGCTGTCTTGGACATAGGGCAGAAGAGAAGAGGGGAAGGGGACTGGAAATGTTTAATAGGATATGTATCTGGATAGACATGAGGCTGAGAGGCACCATTTTTGATGGACTAAAATATTTACAAAAACACTTAAAATACATATATATTTCTTTTTCTTTCATAACCAGGTGAGTAGAATCTTGTCTTTCTCTGATAGCAGAACCATAGGGTAGAAAATATGAGAGTTATTTTCAACTGTTTGATTTTAGTGCATCATAAAAATACTTCAGTTGTGTTTAATGCACTTTGCTGCAGTGCTTTCCACATGAAATATTCACATAATGAATCAGAATCCAGACAGTCTTACTGAAAATGCCTGTAGTACTTATGGATTTAGAATTTAAGATTTTGCTTCATAAGAAGCTTCAAAATTAATTTTCTGAGCATAACAATTTTTTTCAATGTATAATACACTTTCTGTAGAGGACATAAAAGGTTTATAAGATTTAATATTCTACAATAATTTCCTTTGTGGAAGAGTTATAATTATCTCTAAAACATGTTATATATCTACCCAGTGTTACTACATATTTCTCTTACTGAAATAGGGTTATTAAAATGTACTCCCGAATTAATTCCCTACAGGTGCTTTCTCTTTGTACAAAGCCCAGTCTTAAATATTAATGGACATGTAATGCATAAAAATTAGGATTTTTTATTGTTCTAATTGCCTTGTGTCTTTTTTCCAATCTTGCTCCACATTTAGGTCACAGAACAATTAGCTATAATGGTCATTTTTTAGGAAAAAAAAAAGAAAATATTACTCATAAAGTGAATCAACTTTTCTTCTTGACATGAATCACGGGTTTGAATTAAACATAGCTGAGAGCTCAGGTTTCCATTTAAAAAATGAATTTTTTTATTGCAGACGTCTGGAACAGAACTCAATCAAGGTCATCCCTCCTGGAGCTTTCTCACCATATAAAAAGCTTAGAAGAATGTGAGTGAAAAATGTTCTGGAATATGTGTAATTTTAAAAATTTTACGGGTCATGACTGTGCAAAGACATCCATCTAAGTATGAATATTTAGGTGTTAGCTTAAATATTAAGTGATGGGACTGTTTGATGCTAGTTCTATAGTATGTAATATTAATAGTTTAATATTTAAGGTTTAATATTTAAGGTTTAATGTGTAATAGTTTAAGGTTCTCTCTAATTTTATGTATTGATTCACATGAGTGCAGTCAAATCTTAGATGCTCTATATTCAAAAATAAGACATGGCATCTTTTATAATTAAGAAAACAGTCAATAATTCATTTAAAAGGGTGGTGACGTTATAAATGTAGGACACTTTAGACGTTTCATGTTACAAATTAGATGCGTGTATTTATAGGTGCAAAATCAGCATACAAAGGCAATGAATAGCTTTCTCCTGCAGTAAATCTCACTGCCACTGTATTTAATATAACCTAACCCTATTTCTAATCTCAGTGACCTGAGCAATAATCAGATCTCCGAACTAGCACCAGATGCCTTCCAAGGACTGCGCTCCCTGAATTCACTGTGAGTATTGACCACAGCACTGAAGGAAAGCACACTTAATCGTGACTCTGTCTTTTCGTTTGGATTTTTAAAAAGTGTTCCTTTAAGTTTTTGTATTAAGAATTATTAATAACATTAATTATATTAGCCATTAGTGAATTCCACTCTTTTCATTGAGGAGTGTTACCTGTCACTAAAATCAGTCTGTTATAGCCCAGCCGGTGTTGCTCAATGGTTGAGCATCAACCTATGAACCAGAAGGTCACTGTTCGATTCTGGTCAGGGCACATGCCTGAGTTGTGTGGTCTTGATCCCCAGTAGGGGGTTTGCAGGAGGCAGCCAATGGATGATTCTCTCTCGTCATTGATGTGTCTATCTTTCTCTCCCTCTCCCTTCTTCTTTGAAATCAATCAACAAGTAAAAAAAAAATCAGCCAGTTTTAGGGTATATAATTTAGGATTTGATAATTTGCTGTTTAGAGAGCAAGAGTAAAGAGCCCCCTTTTTTGATCATTTTTGTTTCTAAAATGAAGGGGAAATGTTTATTTTTGAGTGCTCTGGTCAGTGTTGTATTTATAATCCTGAAGCCGCTAGATCTCTGGGGACAGCGTCAGTCCCCACTAGAAGGATGCTGGCTGGCGTCTTGCAGAGAACAGTGGAAGGTGTCCAGGGAGAGACCCCTCAAACTCCCTGCTTTCTCACTCACCTTCAGACTTCCCTGAAAAAGCCAGCTTTAATCTCTAACAGTTCAAAGATAAGAACAGTTTTACAGCTTTTTAATGTCAAAAGGACTTTCAGGGAGATAGCTAAAGTGGTTCTAAAATAAATAGGTAAAGTCTGTCATTCCTTTTAACTTGTACAAATTTTCAGAAGTTCATCAAGTAAAGTCACCTTTATTTCAGATTTTAACTTTAATGTTTGTAAACGAAGACTTGCATGTATTTTTAATGAGTTGATGCTTAGAGAATGGTTCCTACTGATGTAAACTACTGCAGAGCTCTATGAATTTCAGAAGTCCTTGGGAGCCAGTGAGAATTCCATGATATAAATGTGCAAGACCCAGATACACACCAGGGTTTATATAACAACTACACGCGCTTGCACCAAGGGGAGAATGAGACAGATGCGTTCGCCTGGACACGTGGGTGTTCAGATTGCTCTGCTCAGAAAACTACACATTTCTCTTCAAAAAGAAAATATGAAACTATCACTTCACAGTGTCTGCTTAGGTTCATTGTTTGTTTGGCGTGTTTATTTGTTTGTTTCACTCCGGAAAGACCAAGGCTAGAGGAATAATTGTTGGCAGAGGATGTAAAGTGTAGTCCTGTATTGCCCTCAAGGTGGGCTGTCAGATTCGAAAATACCAAAGTTTAATGTAAAACACAGTTAAATCACCCAAATTGTCCACAAAGTACTGTGCGTGCTATTCCGGACAATGATACTGTCCAAAGTAAATTCAGCCAAAAGGGCAGAACAGAGGTCAAGTCCATATACCAATTCCTGGTCCTTCAAGTGTCTGTGCCTCAAAGGGAATCAGTAAATGTCAAGAGACGTGGAGAATTCTTACTAAGGCCCCTGTGCTTCAGCTGTTCTGTCTCTAAGGTGGGGGCAAGATTACTCCCCTGCTGGTTTTATTAAAGCACAAAGAGAAGAATTCAAGAGATACCAGAATGGCCTTGACAGATGCTTCTGATTCTTATCAATTTGTTTGTTTCTGGATTTTAATCATCCCAGAGAATTTGTATACCCCAAATCCTCAAGCTATAGTTTTCCTCTTTTCCCATTTCTTTAATTAACCCCTTGCAAACGATTGTCGTTCACTTATTGTAATTACCTCTCTTCACTAAGTAGCTGCCCAGTTCCACGGAGGTCTGCAGTGAAGGGCTGTTGTATTTTGATTCTCATTTCAGTGTTCACACTTCCTACAGTCTTGCCTTGAACTCCTGTTAACTCCCCTGCTTGGGGCCTTGCTTTTTAATCCTGGTTTTCAAGGAAAATGAAAGTGGGAGTAACCTCTGCTTTCTTTCTCTTTACTGTCTTTAAACTTGCTGAGTGTTTTACTTCTCAGATATACATTGTTTTTAATTTATAAGTATAGCTCTCTACTGTATATTTAGATAATGAAACCTGCCCATAGCACCTTTTACATGATAGCCATCTTAATAGGTTTCTGGTTTGGATATTTTTGTCTTGAGTAGGAGATCTAAATGGACAGGTGAATTCAAAGCTTGGGCACCAGTGTTGCTGCATCCTAGTACCTAGATAGTGACCTACTATCCCAGAGTGGAAACTCCAATGGTAAAACTAAGTTTAGAATTCCTAGCCTTCCTTCTAGCAGCAGGTGCAGAAGCTGCCTTAAGATGTTCCTATTGTTCCAAAGAACTATAAAAACTTCTCCATCAGCATAATTGTGCACTGTATATAGAGTGCTGAATATAAGTCATATGTAAGAAAACTGTCATTCTTGGTCTTTGGATGGTATTATGCAAATCCCTCATGTATTTATGTTCTTTTCAGTAGAATTCATTTTTACCTTTTAATTTCTTTCTTTTAAAGATATATTTTATTGATTTTTTACAGAGAGGAAGGGAAAGGGATAGAGAGTTAGAAAAATCGATGAGAGAGAAACATCGATCAGCTGCCTCCTGCACACTCCCTACTGGGTATGTGCCCGCAACCAAGGTACATGCCCATGACCGGAATCGAACTTGGGACCTTTGAGTCCGCAGTGTGACGCTCTATCCACTGAGCCAAACTGGGCACCTTTTAAATTTTTTTTAACATTTGTTTCCTTCTTATGAGCACAGCACACATTCTCACTGGGCTTCTTGCACTTGATGTCTTTATGTGATGACACGTCTTTCCCTCATTTTTATAGATTTTTGGCCCTATTTTCTGACTGCCAACCAACTTCATGAAATTCCTGGTCTTTGGATTTTTTATATCTTCGCTTCTTTTTCTTTTTTATCATGTCGATCTTATTGTATGTAAGAAAAACATACCCAGCACTAGTACTGCTATCCCTTTTTGTGGAGAAATCCCATTACCATCCTATGTAGTATTTCTTTAGTATTATAGTTTCAAGATTTTGGGTTCATATACCCAATGCCACCTACACAGATAGATTTCCTCCATCCTTGTCTGATCCCCCTTTTCTCCAGTGAACCCAAATTGTCTCATTTACAAAAAACAACTACAACACATTTATCTTTTTAAACATGATATATATAAAAACAACAACAATGATTTTCTGTAAAAATAAGTTTCACAATGCAAACATGACATACCTCCCAGCTGTTCATCCTTTCATTTGAGCCTACCAAATAAACAACCTACCAAATTATTTGCCCATAAATTCTTATAGGGGCCTCCCACTACTTCTATGCATTATATTTCCTTCTTTAATCCTCAATCGGTTCAAAATACGAAACTCCTTAAGTATTCAAATTATTCTTTTGGGTTGCTCTTTGAAGCCATACCTTATTCATCTTGGTCATATCAGTGCCTGGGACATGCACAAATGATAAACATTCAAAAAGTAAGAGTTGGAGTTAGTGTAAGTGGGCACCAGGCTTAGAACCTAGCAATGTTCCTGGCACACAGTAAGTGTACAATATCGATTGTTGAATGAACTGATTGAACAGTAATGAGTTGAGTATCCTGAATTGAGGCCGTAATCTGCTCCTTTGTGTTCCTAAAGGCTCTTCTTTTCTTATTCTTGATCTTAAAACATTTTTGTTTATTCTTACTTTACCCATCCTTTGTCCCCTTACCTCCTTGACCCTGACAATATAGGTTTATCTCTTTTCTTCTTTGACTATTAAAATTATTTCTTCTGTTATTGATTTACCTTTAAAATATCTATTTTAAAGAAATACAGAAACAGCGATCAGACTGTCAATCCCCAGAGGGAAAGTAGGGGAGGGTGGAGGTAAGGGGAAGAGATCAACCAAAGGACTTGTATGCATGCATATAGGCCAAACCAATGAACATGGACAATAGAGGGATGAGAGCATAAGTGGGGTGTGGGGGGAGGATGGGGGTTAATTGGGGGGATGAGGACACATTTGTAATTCCTTAACTAATAAAGAATTTAAAGATAAAAAAGAATATCTATATTCTACAGAAATGAATTTTTGTTTTGCTATGTAACTTTACCACGGTAATCTATACAGACTTAAAGTGTCTTTACACAATATAGCACCCAGCTTTATTTATTCCCTTGAGAATTTTCTTCAGTTTTGTAATATATCCCACCTCTCACTGACATCTTAAAAGGGAAGCTTTTTCCTCACTCGTATTTATCTCTCTTGTATTGTTATTTTCCTCCTTTTCAAACAGAAATCATGTACTGCTACCAAACATATTAATTATTTAGACTTTCATTTAAACTTTTTCTTCATGTATTATAGCATCCACTTATTTAATTTTCAAAATATTTTTTTTGCTTGAAAGGGTTTTTAAATCTGTATTTTTATATTTATTTTTATTATTGAAAGTATTATATGTCCCCTTCCCACCACCCTCCACTTACCCTCTCCACCCCCTGAGCCCCTCCCACTCAGAGCCTTCACCACACTATTGTCTTGTCAAAACCACTTCTTTTAGAATTATTTTTTTCTCAGTTTCAAAAGTAATATATGTTCATTGTAGAAAATGTAAAAATTAAGGAAAAACTGTATATATGCAAATTCAAGTCAACTCTGGATGGCAAATCATTTGCCATCCAAAGATATTTCACATTTTTTTCTGTGTCTGTGTTTTTGTTTAATTTTTAAACAAAATTAAAATTATATGGTAATTTATTCCTTTATATTATGCTTTGAAAAAAATTTATTAAATTTATTGGGTTGACATTGGTAATAAACTAATATAGGTTTGAAGTGTACAATTCTATGATACATCACCTCTATACTGCATTATGTGATCACCACCCAAAGTCAAATCTCCTGCCATCACTATATATTTGACCCACTTTACTCTTTACTACCTCCCTCTCACCCCCCCCTCTTTCTCTTGTAACCACCATGCTGCTGTTGTTGTCTATGAATTTTTGTTTATTTGTTTTTCTTATTTGTTAATTTCTTGTTTTCAAATTAATATCCCAAATATGAGTGAAATCATATGGTTTTTGACCATTTCATCTAAATTACTTCACTTAGCATGATATTCTCCAAGATCCATCTATATTGCCACAAATGGCAGTGTTTCATCTTTTCGTTTGGCTGAGTAGTATCCTATTGTATATATGTACCACATCTTCTTTATCTAATCATCGATTGAAGGACACTCCAGTTGTTTCCATATCTTGGCCACCATGAATAATGCTTCAATGACCTCCGGGATACATATTATCTTTACAAATAAATGTAAAAAATATGACAAGTTAGCAGTGCACAGTTTTATGTAAAGGCAATAAAATTATGAACTGTGTTCATTTTGCTAATTTTTCTTGTTTTCCAAACTTTCTATCATAAGCATCATCTGAGTATAGAGTGCTTACTAACTTCCTATTTTCCTGAATACAGATATGTTGAACTAACTTGTTATACTGGTTTGGTGCCTGACTTCTTTTTTCATTTAAATTATGTTTTCCCAGTGTTCTCTATGGAAATAAAATCACAGAACTTCCAAAGAGTTTATTTGAAGGATTATTTTCCTTACAGCTACTGTAAGTATTTGATTGTTTCTGATCTGTTGAACCAAATGCTATATTTTGTCCGTGTGCCATTTCATATCTTCATGGGGGCTTCATAAAAATTCGACCCAAAATGACATAGTTTAATAAAATGGAAAAGATTCGCCTAGTGCTAACATTGTTGACAGTTATTTATTTGAAGACACGACACTTTGAAATTGTCCCCAAACCTTTCTCTCCACCCTTGTCACGAATATATGCATTTTATCTGCTCTGTCATTTAATGCTTTTACAATCCCTGCCCTTAGTGAAGCTTCTCTGGTTTGATTTGACAATAGTTGGAAAGGAGAAAAACATGGTGATATATTTGTCCACCTTTGTGCAAAGAATCTGCAAGAGTGACAAGCTGGAATAGCACCCCCCAGCACAAGGACGGTGTGCAGGAGGCCAGAACACAGCAGTGCACTCAAACTAATCTTTAGGAAGAGATTTCTCTGTAAATCCCTGGGTTATATCTTTAAAGACCAGTCTGCTTAGACAATAGCTAGGTCTCTTTTGCCTCAAAAAAACCATTTACTGTACACATTTATAAGACTAAGACTTGACCCCAGGTATTTTAATTAATGCTTATATGAAAAGGAAATTAGAAAAAAAAATGTGCTGCTATTAAGATTGGCCCAGCTGCTGTGGATGCAAAGATGAGTGTGATGTAATTACTTCTCTCAACTAGGTCATAGTCAGTCTACTTTACAGTGTTCAAATGTATGATTTTACTTAGATGTGGACTCTAAAGATCAATATAAACAAACAAACAAAACAGAAACAGGCTCATATATATAGGAAACAGAGTGGTGGTTGATGAAGCGGAGGGGGTTTGGGGGCTGGGTGCAAAAAGTGAAGGATTGAGAAGTACAGATTGGTAGTTATAAAATAGTCATGGCGATGTAAAGCACATCATAGGAAATACAGTCAGTATTATTCTAATAATTATGTATGGTGCTAGGTAAAATGCTAGAAATAGGGGGAACATTTTATAAAGTATATGATTGTCTAACCACTATGCTGTACACCTCAAACTGATACAAAATGATATTAAATGTAAATAGTAATTGAAAAAAATTATAATAGAAAAGTCAATATCATAAAAATAATTTAATTTGGAATGTTATTTTTTTCATAGAGCAGCTGAATGGACTAGTGTTTTATGGCTTTTATTTTTTTCTTTATGGTGGCCTTGACCGCAGAGGTTGGGTCTCACCCACCTTCATCTACTGCAAAGCTCTACATCTAGAGAATACATGTAATCACTTTTTATTGAATAATTGTATAGGTACCACTAGATTTGGGCTTTCTTTCAACTGTGTGAGCCTTGCTTTATCCGACACAACTCCAAATCTTCAACCTGTGGTGCCTAAATTATTACAGTTAAAATGTCCATGTTGAGATGAAGAGAAATGTATTTCTCATTGGTTTTTTTCTCAAGGACGGAAACTTGAAGGTAAGTCCAGGAGGTGCTACCCTTTAACCCTACGACTATTTGATCAAACAGATTATTGAACGCCAACAAGATAAATTGCCTGCGGGTAGATGCTTTCCAGGACCTGCACAACCTGAACCTTCTCTCCTTGTACGACAACAAGCTCCAGACCATCGCCAAGGGGACCTTCTCACCTCTCCGGGCCATTCAGACCATGTATGTTCATGCTGTTCGGATCATATTTGATGATTGTTGTTTTCTCTCAAAACTGGGGTGTTCAGTTCCTTGCAAGTCGTGCATAAAAGTGTTCTGTGTGTGTTTCCAAAAGGCATTTGGCCCAAAACCCCTTTATTTGTGACTGCCATCTCAAGTGGCTCGCGGATTATCTCCACACCAACCCGATCGAGACCAGTGGTGCCCGCTGCACCAGCCCCCGGCGTCTGGCAAACAAAAGAATCGGACAGATCAAAAGCAAGAAATTTCGTTGTTCAGGTAATTTCTGACCCCATGTGGCATTCCCCCTGTGTCACCAACTACACTGGTTATGGGACAGCTAGAGACAATGGCCTTTGGCTGAATTACCAAATGTTGTAGAATCGTATGTCTTTGTCTTTTATACAAATAGAAAAAAATAAAGAGAACCGTAAACACAATTCAGATAGCCCTCCTAGGTGTACCATTTTTTTAACAGTAGATGAAGCAGAAGAAACAGGCTGCTGGCCAAGAAAAAAAGATGCATGGCTACTTCATACCGTATTCCCAGGGTCCGAACTGAACAGGGGCCTCTTAGTTAACCCTAGTGCCTTTGAAGCCTGTTAAGTCTCATGTTTGTTGTAGTATTCTCCTCAAGGAACCCCAGGTAATTAATCATGTTTTCATTGCTTCAGGAAATGACCTGAGACTTGGTCACATGATTTGCTCAGGCTCAGAAGTAGGGGGAAATCTCCTGATCCCTTATTGGATACTGACTTCTCATTTTGCATTCTCTTATTTTGAATAGGACTGTAAGGAAACATTTTTTACCCCAAAAAGGCCACCTGTTAACATGTTATAAATATTACATTTATTGATAGAAAGCTAACTCTAGATCAGCCGTGGGCAAACTACAGCCCACGGGCTGGATCCGGCCCGTTTGAAATGAATAAAACAAACAAACAAACAAAAAAGACCATACCCTTTTATGTAATGATGTTTACTTTGAATTTATATTAGTTCACACAAACACTCCATCCATGCTTTTGTTCCAGCCCTCAGGTCCAGTTTAGGAACCCATTGTGGCCCTCAAGTCAAAAAGTTTGCCCC